CAATTTCACAAAATCCCTTCGAACCTTGGAGATGTTGCAAATAACCCTCTAAACTTTGTTTATATCATATAACCCCTCTAATTTTTGAAATGTCTCACAAAATCCCATCGAATTCCGAACTTCTCACTGAACCTCCCAAATGTAATTTGTAAATAATTAAAATTCCCTCAATAGGGAAAAAAACAGTAAAATTTTAGGGGGGAGGGAGTAAATTGCCTATATACGGCAAGTGACAATATGTAAACGTTTTATCTCAAAAACATTTTAGTCTTTCACAAATTACATGCAGGGGCCAGGTAAGTTAATGTTAAAGTTTAGAGGATTTTGTGAACACCCCAAGTTCAAGGGGTTTATGTGCAGCACTTCCCCAAGCTGATGGGGGTTAAGTGAAATTAACTTTTCTTAAAGAATTTGAAATTAACCCTTAATTAATTCTCCTAATCTCACACATTTGCTGAAATTTGTGTGGTGGTTTTACTTTAGAGTGTGTCATCAGGCTAATTAATTATTATACTACAATCTTTTAAGCAGTGGGGGTTAGCATACATGCGTATCTAATAGTGTTAACTATTAGGATATGAATCTCTCACCGCATGGAATAAAATTGTAAGCAAGCTTTTTGTCAAGGCTCTGTTTGGTTTGGAAGAATGTGAAAGAAAGGAAAAGAGAAAGAAGATAAATAAGATTCTTTTTCATGTTTGGTTAGGAAGAAAATTGTAAAAAATATTGAAGGAAAATAATATTAGTTATAAGAGAGATTTTTCATGTTTGGTTAGGAAGAAAATTGTAAAAAATATTGAAGGAAAATAATATTAGTTATAAGAGAGAGAATACAAGTAACTTATATTATAAAATTGTAAAAAATATTGAAGGAAAATAATATTAGTTATAAGAGAGAGAATACAAGTAACTTATATTATATGTTAATCTATTCAATAAAATCTTTCTAAAACAATTGTTAAATTGGGAAAAAGTTCTTGATGAGGACAGCGTATAAAACCATGCATGCTATTAGTTTTTTGAATAAACAGATAATGTAAAGAGGCATATTTCATTAACAATTTTAAATTAGTGCAAACTTTCCAAAAATTAGATGCTGACAAAACATACAAGAGCGCATAACTAAAAAACAATATATTTTGAAATGTTTAAAATTCTCACCTTCTTTATACATTTAACCAAGGTGGCTGATTAATTTTTGGTTAATTTCCTAGTACTCCCTCAAACTAAGAATTGTAACGAACATGGCTCAAGTTCAGGGTTTTTTTTTGGAATTAAAATAGCTCTGGGGGATTATACTCAAAACCACCAAAGTTCAAGGGTCAGTGCGAAATCAATATTTTCCCCTAATTAATTGGGCCTAAGCAACAACTCGTTTTATTTTAAATTCTTCACATGGTTCTACATAAACTAGAGCTTTGCTATAGGGACCCAAAATATGGGACCAATAGAGAGGACAAGTGAGGTGTTCCTCTCCTATTAGATAATGAATTAGCTATCATTAATGATGACCAACTCATTATCCAATAGGAGGAGGACACCTTACTTGTCCCCTCTATTGGTCCCATATTTTGGGTCCTTGAGGAATTTTTCCATAAACTAATGGGACTTTTGCCTGAGTGTGGTCCACAAACCAAGAGGAGTTAAGTGTGATTGGGTTGGGCTGAAGAATTGTAACTGAAGATTTATTAGCACGCATTGATGGTCTCAAATTTTCAGCGGGGATCTATGGGCCGCTTCATTGTCTTACGATTCGTATGAAGTTTGATGGGTTTGAATATGACAGGGGAAGTCAATGTCCTGGTCCCACAAATTGTAGTCCCACCCGAACCGAACCCATGACAAGCATAGCTGGGCCCATCAAGATTTATTAAACACCGCAGACCACAAACTATCTGCGGGGTTGTGCAACGGAGCAACCCTGAGACACTTAAAATAATTTTTGAAACTTTACTCTATCGCGGTATTCATTGAAAAAAAAATGTGGTATTCATTGAAAAAAAAATAAGAGTGAAACTTTACTTTATAGCCGTATTCATTTGGGATAATATGATCATGACAATTCCCCCACTCTTTCTGAAATTATCTTATTTCTATACAAACTTTTTGTCTCAAACCTCCAAAATTTGCTTCGTTCTTGACTTTGGGACAATCATACATCACTTTTAGGAAAAATGGGATAATTGTATATCATTTATTTATTGAATGTATCGTATATGTTAATTATGATATATAATACATCTTAATTATATTATATTACTAAGTTCTACTAAATTAGATAGCAAAATATTATTATAATAAATATTATTAAATATCACTATTATATATTAGTTAATAATATTTAATGTATTATAATATATATATTACTATTACTATAATATTACTTTATATTTTATAATATATTTTTAATATGAAAAATTTATTATAGTATGATATAAAATATTTATTATAATTAGTAGTTATTTTAATATTTAATATAGTAACATATTAATTATGTTATATTATAATTTAATACAAAAAATATATTTTAGGTTATGTAATATTTTGGTTTATGTAATAATTTACTTTTTTCTATTATACTTTAATATTTATGTAATAATATAATTTATTATATTAGTTAATAGTATTAAATATATTACCAATATTGGGGGGGTTATAATATCATATATTATTTTGTTGTAACAACAACAACAACAACAATAATAATAATAATAATATAATACTATATATTAAAATGTGATATAATATGTAAAATTAATATATTTTTTATATTACTTAATAATATTGAAAGTATATTAGGGCTATTATAATATTATTTTATTTACATTATATAATATATTAATATATAATATATTATAAAATGATGTTATACCATATAATATAATAACAATATATATGTATGAAATGTTGATATAGCATATGCAATTATATACTATAATATAACATAATATAGCACAACATAGTATAATTTTATATTATTTTATTGAATAATATATTAAATATATTGTTACCACAATATGTTATTATTGTATTAAAAATATATTATTGTTGATGTACTAGTGATCATACAGTCAGTATGTATCAGTGTTTGGATGGTGGTGTTGAGTATCAATGAGGGGCCGCTTTCTCCCCCGACTTTATTTGTTTCTTTGAGTGGTTTTGATGAATCTGCACAGGTAGAAGCTCGTGAGATGACGAGGTTTGGTTCCCCCGTGGTTCCTCCAACGATCAAGTTAGTTGGTGAACTTGTGTGGGGAAAGACAAAGAACTGTGTGCGTTCTTGTGTGTGCAATATGGTTGTTTCAAGATCAGATTTCAGAGAGTTGTTATGCTCGAATAGTAGCTGTCTTTATACCAAGGGTATAAGGGTAGATCGGTCACTTCGGCCGACTGCAGGATGGCGATGACGAAGTGGAAGTGTGGGCTGGCGGCTGAGTCAGCACCTACTTTACAAGTGTTGGTTGGTGACTGTATGAGCAACCAGGTCAGTATTTAATAGGAAGTGATTGGGGGCATGACGGTGCCTGCGTGATCCGATGAGTCATGAAGGCTATCGGAGCTAGAGACATGATGTGTCTATCATGCATTAAATGTGATATAGACATGTTGCCAATGGGAGAGGCTCGAGATAGAAGTTATCATTTAACTTTGTCGAGAAGTAACGTCTTTCGAGTCATCCTCGCGAGGTGTCCAGCAAATGGTCGAGTGGGCTCGTGACGAGTCGTCTTCGACAAAGGGGGCGACAAGTACCGCCTTTCGAGTCGACATGAAGGAATGTCGACTCGACAAGTCGGCTGAGTTGTCGTCCCTGTTGATCTCTAGCTGCCAACTTGATTGGGGCGTAGCATGCAGTACACATGTCCGTTACTTGGCAATGAGTTACACTTTGGCAAATGAGAACATCATAACAATTATATTAACTAATAGTATTGTACATATTTAAAATAAATTATGTTAATTTTAATATAATATATTATATTATGTTATAGTAAATAACTTACTGATAAGTTAATTAGACTTAATTGATAAATAAATATTATATTTTTCTATCATCAATTATTCTATTTAAATTATCTTAATTAAGTTTCAAATTATCTTATTATCCCAATATATCCCACTCTGTCTCACTCATATTGGTACATTAAAACAATTGTCTCACTTTGTCTCAATTTGTCCCGACAAACAACCCCCTTACATCACGGCGAACCTTTATGAACAGTAGTCCCAAGTTCAATTCACATGTATAACAGCATATACTGAAAAGAAATTTGTCCTCTTTAACAGAGACCATCGGACAATTTATTTGTTCCACTAGCTCAAATATGGTTAGTCGTAAAGGATATTCGCCGCTATGTTTGCAAATGCGCAACTGTATAGTTGCAGATTTGCACTAAAAAACTGGGTAAAATACGAGGTTATGGGTCTATTTAGCAACCTTATAAAACTGAGCTAAATTTAAACGTGATGCAATTTTAATGTGTTTTCTAATTGGTAAAAACTGGGGCAGAATGGCCTAATTTTTTTCAATTAATTTTTTAATTTTTTTAACTGGTTTAGCTGTGGGTCAAATGAGACCTCGTCCACACCTAAATAGTTCTCAAATAATAAAGCTAAAAGTGTGGCCCCTTTTCACAAAGTTGCTAAACGCGTAAGGACCCAAATTTGAACTAGAAAAAACAAGTTCAACTTGAGCCATATCCCTTGCAAATCCAAAACTGTGGATCAAGGTTGTACCAGGTCGAACAAGGTTTTGTAAAGTTGCCAAACAAACTTTTGCAAATCCAAAATTTTGGATAAAGATTGTACAACTAAAACAAGGTTTTTGTACAGTTGCCGCCAAACACGCCCAATAGTCACAAGCCCTCAGTCCAAAGCTAAACAAAAGGCCTAGTGAATATAAGCAATTTAGCTCGACAGTATCTTGCACCGCTACTCATAATACTTCAGTTCGACTATTCTAATATTTGCACAACAAAGACACAACTAACACGCAAAAGACATGAAAAAAATAGGGGGGAAAATATGAACGTACCTTATTATAGGAACGCTAAATTATAGAACCAACTTCACTGTATTTCAAAAAGAAGCCCCCTAACATCCTGTAGTCTGAGGCTGGTATATTCTCAGTAAGTCCTGTAAAGTCCCCTCTTATCTCTATATACATTCCTCTCACCGCAGACACTAGCTCACTTGGCTACTGCTGGTTTATTTCACATAAGCTTCAACAAATAAGTTAAAACACCCTATCTGAACTCTATTTAACATAAACCTCCCTAGATTACAAAACTAGTAATTACAAGCAGAGTTACCCCTCTGCACCTGCTGTTGAACATGAAAATGGTGGCCACGATCAATTAATTCAGCATTCAAGGAAGTTGTGGTCATCTGTCGAATTGGACCAGCTACAACCAGCAGACCAGCCAAGAACACCAAGGATTACATCCACACTTGAGCATGCATTTACCTACAGGTTCTCCTTGTCATTAGAAAATGGCGACATAATAAGGGGTAAATTTCACAAAACCTACCTGAACTTTGGGATATTTTGCACAAAAGCCCTGAACTTAATATATTAGAGAAAGCACACTTGAACTAGTTTCACTAAACTGCCATTAGTTTAAGTTGTCATGAGTGAAGCATATGACATGTTTCGGACAATTTATTGATTATATACCTTTTAGTTTTTATAGAGTTTTCCTATCTATGGTTGACAGTTATTAGTAAGGCTAGTTTACACTTTTTAACCTTCATGTTAATGCCATTTACAAGAATCTCTAATAGTTCGAGAGGGTTATGCATAATTTTGAAAGTTCAAGAGATTTCTGTTTCTTAAAGGTTAAGAGGCTGTGTACTTCACGGGCAGTTTTGTGAAATTTACCCAGTAACAACATGATCAGTTAGTTTGAAGAAGAGGGAGAGCCACTAGATACCCTACCAGATTTTCTTCGGTTCCTTCTATTTGAAGCAACAAAACTCCCATCCCTTTTCTTCTATCAATCTCTGCCTGTTCAAAGTATACAAAGAATGAGGCCAAAGGAAATATGTGTCACAAGATAAAGCAAATGTCAAAACTCGATATATCACCCACCACGCACGAGCATATCATTAATCCAACGGCTGTCAATGCTGATGTAACCTCAGCCATCATACCTGCAATTCCAAATGAATGGACAGCAAGGCTTAAGACGAGGTATTCTAATAAAAATCATCAATTAGTGGAAATCATAGCCTAAAGGTGAGGTATTCCAATAAAAATCATAAATGAGTGGACATCATAGCCTAAAGGTGAGGTGTTCTAATAAAAATCATCAGCTTATAAGCTTGGTAGCTCTTCATGTAAGTGTTAAAAGAACTGAGATTAAACATGTTCACAACCCCTTTTTTTTGCCTTACACCAAAATATTTGAGAAACAGTCTCAATCAGTTTGGAATATCAAGTTTCAGTACTTTTTTTTTGTCAATATGACATGATATTCAGGTTTTGGCACGAGATAGTAGAAGAGAGAATAACTTTTAACCCTTTTCCATGGATTAACACAGAAATTGATGTTTCAGAATCGTTCCCAGTTAAGATAACCTCCTTAGGAATCTGGTAAAGACTTCATAAGCTTGGCTAGATAAGGCTTCATAAAGAGAAATACAAATGAGGAAAAAGAGATTTAGAATACAGCCTCTTTATGATAGAATAAATAGTAAAGTAACTGTCTGCAGTCTAATACATTCATTAGCATGCACATCAGGTCAAGAAGGAAAGTGAATCACAAAAGAACACACTTAAAGACAAGGGGTTAAAGAGTGAAAACATTTGACAATGTCTCCGAGTCATACAAATCGGAAGTGCAAAAGATTTGATTACATGGCAAAGGAATCTACCAGCATAAGATTTTCATAAAAAGTGCTGAAAGACAATTCATGTCAAAACAAAAAGTTTCAGCCCACTGGAAGCTACTTGTGAGGCTAAAATCCTTGACATGTAAAGATTGATGTTAAACAATAGAAAGTTATATATTCTCATTCTTAGATGAAAGGTCACAATTACTCCCCTTTATATATGTATGTATGTATGTACACACACACACACACAAGCCCCTACTATTTAAGTGCATAAATATCATGCATGCCCAACTTGTCACAAATATATTGTACCCTATCTTTGGTAAGTGGTTTAGTAAATATGTCAGCAAATTAATGTCCAGTCTTGACATATTTGGTTTCCATTTGAGAACCTTCAAGTTCTATATCAACATCTTTTCTCTAACTACATGCCAGTCAATCTCGATGTGCTTCATCTGCTCATGAAATACTAGATTAGAAGCAATGTGAATAGCCGCTTGATTATCAAAATATAATATCATAAAAGCCTATTGCACACCTCCCAACTCTCTAAGTAGCCGCTTAATCCAAATCATCTCACGTGTGACATTTGCTATCTCTATATTCTGACTCTACGCTCGAATTCGATGTAGAAATAACACTTGGCTTCTTGCGCTTCCGAGACACCATGTTTCCTCTGACAAACACAAAATTACCTGATGCCAACCTTCTGGTAGTCGGCATCCTACTCAATCAATATTCAAAAACCTATTATATGACAATGTTTGCCATCAGAGTACACAAGTTCTATCCTGGAGCATTCTTCAAATACTGAAGTATTCTAATTACTACATCCAAAGAAGTGGTACAAGGAGCAGTCATGAACTAACTAACAACACTCACTAGAAAAGCAATATCTGGACGCATTACAGTAAGGTAGTTCAGGTTTTCCACTAGCCTCCTATATCTTCCAGGATCCTCCAATGGCTCTCCTTAATCAATTAATAAATTAGAACATGTTTCATGGATGTATGAATTGACGTACAATCCACCATCTCACTATCAGATACCAGCACATACTTCCTCTGAGACAAAAATATTCCCTTTTCTGATTGCGCAACTTCAATTTTCCAAAAAGTATCTCAGAGTTCCCGAATCTTTCATTTGAACTTGTAGTTTAATTTTGAAATAACTTATCTCCTTCTCATCATCACCAACGATAACAATATCATCAACATAAACCACCATAAGAATCCTCCACCCACCGTGGTGTCGATAAAATACCTTCTGATCATAGTTGCATCTCTTCATGCCAAACTCCATAACTTCTGCAAACTTTCCAAACCATGCTCGCAGTGACTGCTTCAGACAATATAATGAGCGCCTCAACCTACAAACTTTCCTTATTCCTCCTCAGCAACAAACATAGGTGGTTGCTCCATATAAACCTCTTCATCAAGAACTCCGTTAAAAAAAACATTCTTAATATCTAACTAATGCGGCAAACATCTGTGAGTAACCTTCAGCGACCAATCTGACTTCGAGACGAGCAAGAGTCCCGTCCAAATTGAACTTCGCTTTATACACTCATTTACGACCAACACACTTCTTGTTTGAAGAAATCTGTACCAGTGTTCATGTCTCATTCTGCTTAAGTGCATTCATCTCCTCTAACACAGCCTGTCTCCAACCTAGATGTCATAGAGCCTCTGACACAAACTTGGGAATAGCGTATAAGTCCACAATAGATTCAGAAGCAGCGTTAGCAGGAGATAAGTGAAACAGACATATAGATAGACTCACATGGAGTCCCTTTGCGTAAAGCAATAGGTGGATTAAGATCAGAAGCCTCACCAACGTGTTATTCAAGAGATGGATACAAAGAAAGGACTGCCACAGAGTCTGTGTTGGTGTTAGACAATGTTACTTGAGTAGCCTCATCTGCATTGTATAAATGAGGTATAAAAGAAATAGTTCCATTAGGTGGGATATATACAAGAAACTCAGTATCCGTTTCAGACACATGATTTGTTGGCCTGTAGGAAAACAAGGAGTAGACTCTGAAGATGTGATATCTGCAACGACGAAAGATTTTTTCAAATGGGGGCTATAGCAACAATAGCCTTTTTGAACTTTAGAGAAACCAAGGAAGATACACTTAATGGATCGAGGATCAAGTTTCTCTTTATGTGGATCATGATTTTGTTCGAAGTAAGTACAACAAACAAATACGTGGTAGAAAATGAAAAGTGGAATATAAGTAAACAGAATAGAGTATGGAATCTGGTTATCAAGAACAGATGAAAACATTGAGATTCATAAGATACCATGTAGGTCAAAATTACCCCTAGAAATGTTTAGGGGCAAACTTATCAATAAGCAGGGTACGAGCAACTTCTAACAGGTGTTCTATTGTTTTTCTCAGTGACACCATTCCATTAAGGTGTATAAGAGCACAGGGATCCATGTAATATTCCAGACACGGACATAAATTCCATAAAGAAAGAACTGAAAAATTCAGTTGCATTGTCACTATGAAGAGTTTTCATAGCGATATTGAATTGAGTCTTAATTCAAAACAAAATTCTTGAAACTTAGAAAATATCTCCGAACAATTTCTAATAACATAAAGCCAAGTAACTCTAGAGTAGTCATCAATGAACGTCACAAAATACCGATATCCACGATTAGATTCCACACGAAAAGGACCCCACACACCTAAGTGAACAAGAGCTAAAGGACTGTTTTGCTTGTTTATTGACTTAGAAAATAAGATGTACACTGATGTTTACCTAACCGACAAGACTCGTACTAAAGATTTGACATGATTTAGTTCGTCTCCGAGGGTCTGATCATACTCAAGCAAGCAATTTGACGAGGAATACCATCAGCATAATATAAGACTATAGACCTCCAAACTCATGCCACATCCCAATTGTTTTATTTGTTCCAATTTCCTAAAGACACAATGGTTAGGATAAAAAGTAACTAAACAATTCAAGGAACAAGTAATCTTACAGATATGAAACTAAGTGGAAATTTTAGCATGAAGAGAACTAAAGTAAAATAGTGGGGGTGATATCAGCAGCAGTTCTTTCACCTCCAATAGGAAAAAAAGGAACCACCTGGTAATCTAATTGGAGAGTGATGTAAAAGGAAATATTTTGGACAACATACATTTATCCTCTCCTCTAAATATAGACATGAATACTTGACAGTTGACATGTTCGTACTCATTGCAATAGTAACAAATCACTTTCATGTAATTTTCCAGATCTATCATATCTGGAACCACAACCTCCAAAGCGGACTTTGTCGTGACTATTCCCAAATCTTCCTCCGCGAGCACCATAATAAGTATTGGAGCCTCTCTGCTTTGCAGCTAAGACCAACCTCTGTTTTACCTCCTCCTGAGAAAATCTAGCAAAAATATCACATAACAGGTGATATGTATCTGAAAGCAAACCTATACCTGAAAGAGCAATTGTTTGCGATCTTGCCATTTCATACTCTTTTGGGAGCCCTCCAATAAATGCCAGAACCTCTAGCTGCTTTTGTTATCTCTTCATCTTCTACGACACATGTGATGTAATGGGAAACATCTCTAGAACCCCACCCTGAAGTTTGTTCAACTCTGCATAATACTCATCCAAGTTCTTATTCCCAACTGACATCTCAAAAACTCTTATGATAGAGTATGCTAGTCGACTCTAACAAATCATATAATTCCTTTGGAGTTTTACAGTGAAGGACTAGATCCTGTACCTCCATCTCCATGACACCCAACAGCTGACTCAACAGTCGTTTATCATCTCGATTCCACTTATTTTCTTTTCCGAAAGGAGAATTTCCCCTCAAATGACCCTCCTTCCATCGCCTTTCCAAACTAATCTATCAAAACAAGTCTTTTCCGCTGTAGATAATTATTAGTGGTCAACTTACTATAAACCTTTCCAGCCAAGTATTGCGGACTATATTTTCGGTGGCCATAACTACATCCTATAACAAATGCCGAGCACCTCCCTACATTCCTTACAAACCAATCCGAATTCCTAGTACCACCCTACCACCACCAAATAACAAAACCACCAAAACAACTCCAAATTCCAAGATTATCTCCCACATGAATAATGCCGACAAAAAACAACTAACCGCAGTATCTCTGAAAACACACCATCAAACTGAAAAAAAACTAAAGAATCCAAACCAAATCCGTGCCAGCTATGATGCAATGACGACAACGGCGATGATGTGATGACGGCAGCGGCGACAATATGACAATGGCAGCGGCCAAAAAAAAAAAAAAAAAAAAAAAAAAAAAGTTGGGCCGATCCAAGGGCGGAGCAGGCAACCCATGACAGGGCGAGAAGTGCTGGAGGGTAGGCGGGCGCGGTAGCCTAGAGCGCGACCCCCCCCCCCCGTGGGGGGGGGGGGGGGGGGGGCGAGAAATTGAAGGGACTGAGGTTTTGAGGAATAGGCTATTAAATTTTTATAAGAAAATATTGTAGATTCTCATTCAAAGATGAAAAGTCACAACTACTCCCCTTTCTATAGAGCTACAATATCAAAGTGTTTTTTGTGCAGGCAACATGAGACTAAACTCAATAGTCTAAACACTCTTTAGCCTCCTAATCAAATCCCTAATATCTCTCAATCACCAAATATACTATTATACAATTTAACAAGGGTTTCTTAAATAATCATAATAGTATTAAATATTAAAAGCAGAAAACTGAAGTTCAATAAATTTCTAATAGTTACACTTTTTGAACTGAAAAATCATATGACAGTGGAAAGTAAAACAGACTCACCTCTTCGATCAATGCATATGACGCAAAACCATTGAATTGAATGTCCTTCCACACTATGCCAGGAAGCGATTTTGCCAGCTTTCCAGCTCTCCAAACCAGGTAAAACTTCCTTATACATAGGAATGTTGGCATGAATGATCTCAGCAATACCATCACTCCTGATATTTGAGTGCCCATTAACCTTATGACTCATTTTCTGCACATTTTTATTGTGTTTCCCATTGACCTTAGGCATGCCAGTAGTGTTCTGAACATGTATGAGGCTGTCATGGCTCCAATTCGTCGTAGACAATTCATCAACACTCCTAAGTATCTTATCCCAGATGGGCTTTCTTCCATTACGAGATGGGGAAATTTGCAATTCATAATTGTTCTCATCCTCAAGATCCGCGACAAAGTTGTTTACTGTATCCGCAGTTATTTCAGAAGCAGAAAGTGCAGCTTGTTCCCGCAAGAACTAAACGATAAAAATTGACTTAGCCAAGTAATAACATGACAAAGAAACAAATGATAGTAAGTATACTCTGAGAGTACCTTCATAATCTTGTGCCTGGCACTTCGAGTCTTTGCATGTTGCAACCATTGTTGATGCCGCTGAAAAGATGACTTGCTTGATAATGCCTAATGAAAATGCCCCGGGATAACTGAGAAATTTATTTATTATATGAAATCTAGAATAGTTAACAGGAAATATAATACATCCAGGCAGCACAAATGCAAGGAATTCATCTTTATTAGTGAAAAGAGAAGTTCGCTGCTGCCTGCTGGTATTGAAGCTACAAATGACTGGGCATGTATTTATAACAATTATATTTATTGAGACTACTCAAATGGACGTTAAAGGAACATACACAAACCAAGTGCATGATCACTAGAAAAAACTTTTTTTAGCTATGCAGATCTGCAAGGAATCCCCAAAAGGATACGGGAGTGCAACTTCATCGCTCTGAGACATCTCCATTTCTCTACAATATTTGTGAATTCCTCTCCAAAGAACGAACTGTGGGAAAAAGTCTAAAATGGTATTGATGTTTATGTACCAAGATCCGAACTGTAGAAAAAAGTCTAAAATGGTATTCATGTTTTTGTACCAAGATCCTGTATATCATATGGCTAATGGCTTCCAAGATCGCTTACATCAAAACACAGGCCGTAAATAAGTAGAGTTCAGTAAAGTTTCTTTTCAAGCTAGATAGTTGTAGGTATGATCTCTACAGGTCCAACAGACTGAATAATTTTGACAACATGGTTGGAAAAGCCCATAAGCATGGAACAAAAAGACTACAGTGTTCAAATCTAGAAACCATCACAGTGCTTGCTGCAGTCATTCTTGACTATTGTAATATAAGAGGAAGATGGCTCTATGGGTAGCTTTTTTATTTCCTGTTTCATTATTAGAAATTCCTTGAATTTAGTATAACATTTGTACTTGTGCTTCCATGTTGATGAGTTAATAGTTGTATCTTTCTTGTTCATCTCTGGTTGCATTTCTTTGACATAATAGCTCGACGAAATGTCATACCTGTGAATGAAGTATGCTTCAAGATTTTTGTGGTGCTGTTGTTCATTAGGAGTGGGTTTAAATGGGTTACTTGGGTCAGATACTGGTAACCCATCTAAAGTACAGGTCGGGTATGAATTGCTATCTTGACATGTTTATTAAATGAGTCATGTTCAAGTCAAGCTTATACAAGTTGGGTCACAATTGACCTGACCCTACCCGTTTGTACCCCGAGTAGACCCGATGAATTTTATATGTAAAACATGTTTCTAAACACTTTCAAGCATAAGTATATCAACTGAAGGAAGTAGTATACAAGCTGACACTGCCTGTAACAGTAAAAGAGATTGAAATCAAAACTATTACAAATCCTTTAAGAAAAAAGGTTGCAAGTTGATTCTCGTTTCAGGATAAGTCAACTTGTTTATCATGTGATAATTACAGAACCTATATTTACAGGTTTGCTGATAAATAACTCTCCTAATTTAGTGCAGTGCTTAACATCATACTGTTCACTGTGGCAAGAAAGTATTAAGGAGAGGCCTGCTTTAGATAATCCTATAAGCTTTAGTCGAATTTTTAAGAAACTTATTTCAACAAGTGCGCATTTTTATTCTCATTCATCAGTGATAAATGATAACATGCATCTCAACCAATACAACCCCAGTTAATCAAGATGTACTAGACAGATCATAGACCAGTTGGCTTTGGAAAATTAATTCATGCATCAGTTATTTTTCACTATGGAAAATACTTAAGCTATTAACAGGAATCATCACATAAAGGAACTAGGAATTGTTAATAAATATTTAATTAAATGCTGAATCCAAGATAACAAATGTTACAATATTCAGTCTGAAGAGAAAAAAATAAACATGTAAAAGGAAGAAAGAAAAAAATAAACATGTAAAAGGAAGAAAGAAACTCACATTATATGTTATTATCTCAACAACTTCAGCATTTGCAAGGACATGCATAGGTGAAACAAGATTCCCATTGACCTGCAGAACCCGACTGTTAACTACATTCTGACAAATAGAAACTGGAATAATATGACTTATAGAAAAAGTATGCAACTTTAATGTGAACCATAATAACATAATAATCATGTTTCAACGTGCCCGCAACATTATATCATTCTATACTATGTTCCAGCAGTCAAAAGTTTTAGTGATATACCTTTGCTGCAACCATTTTGTTGCCAATCTCAGTATGTATCAGATATGCATAATCTATCACAGTGGCTCCTTTCGGTAGGTTCCTTATCTGCAAAAAGTAAGCGAGTTAGCTGGTGTGAAAAAATACCAAGCTATGTTACTGTTGAAGAGACTTCATTATTCTACCTCTCCTTTAGGCGTAAAAACAAAGACTCGGCTGCCCAACAAATCCCTCTTGACTGTATCAACAAACTCCCTGGAACTCATGTTACCAACAAATTCCTCTTGCCATTCCCTGATAGCATTGAGCCAGCCAATCTATATACAACAATGGGAGCAATTGTAAGTAGAGCTTGCAATACCAAAATTTAAGAAGATATAAGAATTCCTATATGGATAAGGTATTTCAAATACAAAATGCTGACATCAAATTATATGTCTGCATACCCTGAGAGCAATATCTGTATTATTCAAACAGATTGTCTTTGACTTTGAACTTCTCCCATCAGACAGTCCATGTCCAACCATACTAGAAACAGCCCCTCTTCCATTATAGTGAGCAGCAATACCCCTTTCGGCTATGATATCCATATCTTCAGTTCTTATCTGCCAGAAGATAATAGTTTATCGATATCCCTTTAATGCAATTACTAAAATTGCATACTACCAACCGAAAAATCCAACAATATCGAAACCATATATTAGACATGAACAATGTTAAGACAAGGACATAGAGAAAATCACCTGAACTTCTAACCGGAACATGCTTTCATATAGAAAGGGTATCACAGTGGTGTGAAGGCTTTGATAACCATTAGGTTTTGGAGTTGCTATGTAATCCTTCATCTGTGATAGCATGACTGACTGAATCTTGTCTAACTAACAAAGATACTCAATAAACCAGATAAGAAATGCAAAGTCTAAACATCTTACAGCTCGAGGTATTGGTGTCCAAATTCCATGAACAAGACCAAGAACATGGTAGCAAATCTACATCAATAACCAAAGTAATGAGGAGTCTACTATAGTATACAATTACAATTTGACATTGCATTACCTGTTCTGCATTGCATAAAGGTCCAACTCCGACGCATGCCTTAGGTTTTATTATGATTCGAAGCTAGTGCAACAAACAACAAACAGATTACCATGGGAATTACAAGGCAAATAAAAATAACCAATTTCAAAAGACTAAACTTTCAGTTTATTACAGAATCCAAACCTGTGCAATTTGATTGACCTCCTTAATAGAACTTTTTGATTTCAGCATAGCTCTGTATATACTGTAATAGTATCAAATTGTTAAAAAGTTAATTAGTACATTAAACATGCATCACCAAACCATTATAAGATGATTTATGAAGGTTCACTTCAGAGTTGCTATAAAATATTTTAAACTCGATTGCAGCACAAATGAAGCAGTGAAGATTAAACTCATAAATTCAATAATAGACATTATTATTATCATTTTTCTTAACCAAATACCTACCTCTTGAACTGGGGTCTCCCATAACCCAACCCCTCCTCCACCCACCAACCCCCCACCCCACAAAAACAGAAAAACAAAAACAAAAACCTTCATGCTATTAAAAATCTGATTCCATTGGTAAGAGTATCATGAGAATGTTCCAGTTAACCTTTGATACTATTTCTGGGTTTTCCTCCCCACCCAACCAATACCATGGTTGTATTCACTTATCAAATCCACCTTTGAGAACATGCACCTACACCCACTCAGAACTTGGGCATAGGGTCAAATCAATATAGATCAACACTCTAGTCTTATAGTGGCCGCTCCCATCCTTCTTTGGTGCTAACACTGCTGGAGTAGAGCAATGGCATCACATATGACCCTTATCTCGTAAACCTTATACTTGCATACAAATCTCTACTTTTTCATCTATGCAGGTTCGTACTATATAAAGTCATAAGTTTCTCCTTTAAGCAAATAATCACTAATTATTCTTACTATATAAAGTCATAAGTTTCTCCTTTAAGCAAATAATCACTAATTTGCTACCCATGTTTCTGTCTTATGTAAAGAAAAAAAAATCTACAAAGAACTAAAAAGGCTATGAGTCTTCGGACATTGTACAAACGGACAAGGATGACAACAACTCTTCAGCTACACTCTCCTTCCAGTCTCTTTGAAGTTATCTAATGTTTACACTGTCAGAACTATATCTTGCAACTATAAATAGCGTAGTCAACCAAAAAGTAACCTTCAATAAGGTATTTCAGGCTCCTAAAATCAAGACAACTGCAACTGAATGCAGTTCTACAACATCAAGGTCAAACCCATTTTTCTTGTCTTCAATGTACATTCCCCATCAAAAATCAAAGAATAACAGGTTCTCCAGATCAATTATTTGAATACACGTGAGGATATATTGAAACTATGATGGTGAATAAAGGATGAAGAGAAACCAGCATATGTTGAAATTAGGTTGGTGAACAAAGGAAGAAGAGAAATTGACTACTTTATTACTTGCCAGACGGTTCAAAGCTCAAGGTCATCAACAAATAAGATAATTCAGGTCTTCGGTGACACTTTTTGATAGTCTGTTTAGTTAATTATGTAATGTTTCAAATGTCCTACTGATTGTTTTATATGGAAGCTGTCATGCCAAGATTGTGCGTAGGGTAATCAACAAGATGAACCTCTGAACTGACTGATCTCATTAAATATTCATCCACAAGTCTACGCGCCCATATATACTAGATATAAGTTATTAAGTAGATTCACAGTCATCTGCACAACTGATGCATGTCCCATAAATCAGGAGCTGGAAGCCAGGTAAAGGCAGCTCTATATGAATATATACTTCATGTAAAGGTTCTGTTATTTTATTCAGTACTGTAGTATAAAAGTGTAATAAACTATATATGAACTTCTCATATAGTAGACTACCAATATTAACTAGATTAGTGAGTCTACTTAAAAAACTTGAACATGATTAAGGTTTGTATATTGACCTGTATAGCTCCTTACACACAGTACGCACTTCTGTCTTTACAGTCACAAGCTCTAAAAACTGATCCTTCTCAATCCTCTGCTCCAAGATTTTCTTTGCCTGAAAAGAACGTGGAACATGAGAAGCAAAAGTCACCATTAAAAAACAAGATAGTGATCAACAACACCGATCTCCAACCCAATCAATCATTAAAAGAATACCTCCAGAAGTTCCTTCTCATGCTCCTTATATAGACCCTCAACTCTTCTCTTGAGCTCAATAAAATCATATGCATTTGCATACATAAAAGACAGATACTCCAGCTCTGACTGCAAAAGAACATCCATGTTCATGAGAGGGAAATCATAAGCATGTGTAAGAAATGTTCTTTATGTTCCTTGTAATTCGAGAATATATTATTTGGTCCAAGGATTTAATTTTGGTAACTTATTATCAACTGCGATCCAGAAAAAGGTCTTAGCGTAATTTCTAGTCAGGTTACATACTCAAGCAAACAACATGAAGTACCAAAAGCAGCCACAAATATGATTTGCATGCATGTAAAAGTGAATTTCCAATTAGCAAAGTAACTGCAGATATGATTGAAATGTGCATAAATGTGCACAAGTGCACTATGGAAAAAAAAAATACATAATAAACCCCTGCTAAGATATACCTTGATCTGGTACATCCCAAGAAGCTTTGCTAAAGGGGCAAACACTTGCAAGGTCTCCAACGCAATGCTAGACTGCAAACCAAAGCAGCTTAAATTAAAATACCCAACTAAATGACAGTGTGCAAATTGTGCTGTGAAAACGTACTTGCTTGTGCTGAGGCATATGTGAGAGAGTACGCATGTTATGTAACCGGTCCGCAAGTTTGACAATTATAACCCGTACCTAAATGGATAATTCAATAATTTTCAATGAGTGGAATAAGTAGAAAATAATTACTCAACTGATTTTACCTCTTCTGTCATGGCAAGGAACATTTGCCTCAAATCATTAGCTTTCACATCCTGTGCTGAATTATCCACATCTTTACACTTGAGTTTACCCAGCTTAGAAACCTAATCAATGTGAAAATATGAGAAACATACCCAAATATTTTCTGCAGGTAATCTATACAATGAACGACTTGAAGCAACAAGCCACCTTTGTTTCTCCTTCAACAATGTGCCTCACTGTAGCACCAAATTCTTTCTCTATTCTTTCAAATGTGACGCTAGTGTCTTCAACTGTGTCATGCAATAAACCAGCAGCAATAGACTCCCAGTCCAGCTCCTAAGTGAATTTGAAAAATATGTTAAGACAAGAGAATTTGTAGTAAGAAAACTCTTCTGGTAATTATAGGACACATTGAAGAATCCATCTTTCAACATAGACCTGATTCTTGACCCACTTACAAGTTCTCCAAGAATGCGTGCAACTTCAACTGGATGAATGATGAAAGGCTCCCCGCTTCGTCTCTTCTGACCATTGTGTGCTTCAAAGGCCAGCTGCACTGACCAAAGGAGCAAGTCAGCATGTAAGCATTCAAATATTACACATAGTGACATCATAAATCGACAAAATAGAACCTTACAGTAGTAGTTCTTTCAGTCATTCTAAGTAATGCCTACCTTTAGAGCATCATTCACTAACGTCAACTCCTCAGGAGCAAGATATGAAATTGCAGGTTTCAGATCCTGGTGCAATAGTGAAAAACATAAGCAATGAAACTGAATATAGCTTCTGGTAATCACTCCAATTATCACTTAACAGGTCCCTGAAAGTAAAAAATAATTGCTATCTACAGAAATATTTGCTATATAAGGAAATGTGACAAATGTGTTACTTCGGAAAAAGTGCATAAGTGGCATAATTGTGGCATAAGTGTTAGTTTCAAAATAACTAAAAGTGCTACCTAGGGAAGTCTGGAGAAGCACTCTAAGAACAATAAATGCTATTTGTTCCCTGAATCTATATATACCAAAAGATTAAGATTATATTACGAAGGCGATACTTTAGAAACTAAGAACTCTTGCATTTGTCATAAGCAGGATAAGAAGCGCTTGAGTGAGAATTCTAATACCATAAACATAGATGAGAGATAAGCAAAAATGTTCATAACAATTGGCATTAATAAGGATCATATGACCATGCACATATAGTTTGAACAGACATTGTCACAACTCATGATTCATGGAAGAAATGAGCTACAGAAAGCTACAGCAAGAAAGGAAGAATGCGAGAGAGGATGTACCTATAAAATAGCAAAAGTCCAATACCCAAGGGTTGATTATTGCAGAGTTCTAAGGAAATGAAGGTCATAGGTGGTATCCAATTAAACATTTAAAGAAAAAGTACTTATGAAAACTTATTACAGATTATAGAAGCATAATACTTAACGTATCCTGCACGTCCTACAAAAGGCCAAGTCAAGATATGTATAGGACATATAGACATACGGTGAGGGGGGTGATCTGGTGTACACAGTGATAACTATACACTGGGAAGAAAGAAAGAACCAAATGAGAAAATTTTGCAGGATCGTTCTCTATTTCCCCCCAAAAAAATTATCAAATGTCAAGTAAACCCACAAGCTTTGCCAACCCTCACTTAACATTCGGAGTGACCTATGATCTTTCTGTTATGTCCAATTATCTCATCCTTAAATCTTCCCCTATGTAGAAATAAGATTTCCTCAAGCACTCATATTTTTATGGACAATTTTGTAGTAAGCAAGGAAAGAATCTGAGAGATGGTTAGCATTCATAAAGAAATGATCTAAAGATTCTCAAAGTGAAACAAAAGAGAAGGTTTCATTTCTTTGCTATGCAGCAATTCTTCCTTCATTTTCTCAACTGTCAACAACAATATAATACATGTATTAAACAAATATAAAGTGGGACTTTTACATGATTTGTACTCGATGTATACAAGTGCAAAGTGCAAACAATTTAGGCATCTTTCACGCTCTTGCAACAAGTCCTCAAGTGAATCAGCTCTTTGGTGCCATTAATATAGACAATATCGGAAATGCAAAGTTACCATTTTCTGATTCCATTTCATAAGTATCTAGGCAAAGGAATAAATAAAAGAGATCTATCGAGTATTACTATCTTTTTGAATAAGAAAAGTACTTGCTATGAGAAAATGTATCATATGCACTCCAGCAGACAACTTTTCCGTTCAGTAACAACTTATGTTGGAAAACTTCCTTACACTTTGCTTTAGCTTCATTCCGCATTTCTCAACCGTGGGATATGTTCGGATTCTAAACCATGCTGTATGAACCAATATCATTCTCCTGACATGCAAATTATTATTGTCTAAGCATTTTCCCACCTAGATTGGGTCAGTTATGGAGCACAGAGCTCTTTGACAATTCTATACAGCCAGAATCTAAGTTGCAGGGGTGCGGGTACGAGTTGTGTGGATACAGGACACGGCAAAGTTGTAAAAGGTAGCGTAAGGGGACACCGTTATAAGTATGTATGTTATGTATATTTATGTATTAAAATTAATAATTTGCATAAGATCAATACTATTTTTTCATTTACATAAGATAAGTATATAAGAAATAGATGTGAAGTGTAAGATATATATCCAAGAAGTGCACGAGGAGCGTTTTACATTAAAACATGTATCATATAATAGAGTAAACACCTAAATAAATGTATGCATATATTCAAGAAGTGTCCAACACGTTTCCGTATGGGTATGGGTACGGGTGCGGGTCTGGTACAGATACGGCTTCTAGTAGAAGTGCCCAGGTAACAGACCAGAATTTAGATCTAACTTAAGCCTTCTTTGCTGCTACCAGTAAGAGAATGTCGTCTTAAAAAGATGGGTCCCTCTCACCTCGTCCAATATAAGAAGGAAAGTTCCACTTATAACACCATAGTCCATAAAGATCCCTGGTAACTTGTGACCTCTTCTTATAAAGTCTAATTCTTTGAACAACTTTCCTCATGTCTCTTCATGTACAAGGAATGTTTGTAACAATAAAATAATATATGTTAATAAACATTTACAAACCTGCGCCCATTGCAACAAGCAATGTTTTAAATATCGGCTGATAAACCGATGTTATTGGCGATTTGTCGGTTTTGAGGGCCTTCTGCTATGATAAGTATGTTTTAAATATCAGCCGATAAACCAATATTATCGGCGATTTATCGATTTTGGAAACATTCCACTATGATAAGTTTGATTCTAAATCAGCTATCATTTTTGGATATTTATCACCAATAATGCGGCGATAAAGTGAGTTATCGGTCGATATTGTCGGCCCAAAAATCAAAATTATCGGCTTTTGGTTTGAGTTTTGATTTCGAGTAACGGGCACCTATTCAATGCACTTTACACCTAACTCGACCCGAGTTTCTAACATTGGTTAGTGATCTTAAACATAATTATTTAAATTTTAGCATGTTTATATTTCATTAAGTTAAGAATATTATATTATGTATATCACCATCCGATAATGTCACTCCGATAAATACTACTCATCCCCGATACATCCCGATATTCGCTATCCGATATGAATTTTGACCGTCCGATAAATCCCCGATAACCGATATGTAAAACCTTGGCAACAAGTAAAACTAAGTTGGATTTAGAAGGTCCTTACAACATTAAGACGTCATTATCTTGTACAACGCTTTATACTGTGAAACCAACAACATATTCTCGTGACTTATAAAATGGGAACTAGCATATTGCAGCAAATAACCACACCATTCCATGACAAGGCTTGCTGTTGAAAAAATACTAACTCAAACATATTGTTCGAAGCAACATACTTGATCCATACACCTTATAAGAAGATACTCGTTCTCCAATTTTCAAAACAGTAGACATTTCATGTAAAGCATAAAAGCTTTTCATACCTCCCAGAGCGAGTCAGTTGAAATTTCTACAGATGATTCTGAGAATGGATAACAGTAAATCTCCCATTTTTTGTTATAAACAAGAGTGTAATGTTGCTTGACATATCTTCCAGGGACTGCATAATCAGCAGTTTCTCCATAGTTTATATTCCCAGATTTAAGGTCATCACGTCTCCATGTGCTCTGTGATAACCAATGACAAAGCAACCAAAGATTTAATCTTAGACTTTGTTTTAGCACCAAAAAAGCAAGTTGCAAATCTTGATTGAGAAGAAGGCTTAAAGATAAGATAAACTAAATAGACACCACCCCAGCATATTATAAGGAAATAGATGACACAGACACTACACATGTAAACTATTTAAAGAGCTATAACTGTTGTTTACAAGTAAGACGAAGATACACAAGTTTCTGATAGAGAAGTTGCTTGAAAATTATACATAGGGTTTTAATGCAACAGACATGGACATCGGCATGGGGAATCTCAAAGAAATAGAAGCCAACATATCAGTGAATACACATATTTAAGTCTACAACATTATTCCATACTTCTATATCGAGAACAAAGTCATAAACAACGAGACACATTACAACAGGTTGAACAAATGATCCCAAGAAAAATACTATTGTATAAGCATTTCCATCTTCTTCATTAGGCATGCCCCTTCCAAGTATATAAGAGAATAAGAGAATTTATCCATTTTGACTTAAATAGAAGTCACATTAATTTCAAGGCGAGTAACGATATCAGGTTTATAAATATAAAAGGATATATATGAATGCAGAATTCAAGCCTAGTAAAGAGAGAATGCAACTAGCCTGCGAGCTAGTCAAAGAATCCCACTTTGTAGATACTGAGTTTTGAGTACTGCGCTTTTATGCATAGACACAAGATGTAATGAAAATAGTTCTCCAAATCGAAATGCAAAGAAAACTTCATCTAATAACTCGAGTATGCATTATACATAATTAATGTATATAACTTCAGTAGAGAGAAGCACAAATGTTGCTTCAGTGTACTGTTAGGTGGCGGAAAGAGGCAAGTAGTGCATGTTTACAATAACGGCAATGAGAGAGAAATATTAATGCAGCAGCATTCGGACATGATGAAGAAAAATAGTACATCTGGCCATGCTGGACACGCAAACTGGTCCAAGCAAGGTGTCATAAACAATGACTCTCCAAATACAATGCAGAATTGCACGACTTGCTTCTTAGTTCGTTTTTTAATATATGTTATAGTTCTTGAGGAGGCTAGTTCTGTAATGTACTTGTATTTTTTTAATGATATATAAAGGGAGAGATAGCAGACTCTCTTCATAAATCGATGTCTCCAAATTCATGACATGGTATCAAAGCATGCATGCCCGATGCTCCAATTCCCATTTCATATCCCATCATTTTGCCACCTCATGTGATTGCCCTAATTCATGACAATATTAACGCAATTAATGTATGTTCAGCTTGTACCTCTACATGGAAGTATTCTGAAGTGTTAAATAAGAAAGGAAGCAATTAATACATCATAATTCTTGCCAAAGTAGTATGCAAATATAACATATATCATAACTTCTGCCAAGCAAATAAACCTTCAAATTCACAAGTGAGCTCTTGATGAACACATGCCACAACACACCTGGATGAAAACATCAAATATTCATGTAAAGAAGTTCCTAAATACCATATCGAAATTTAATACAATATCCACATTTTAAGCTAGTGTTTTCCAAACATCCAATTTGTACGAGCTTTATGGTTCAAGTACACCCTATAATGGGACAGCAGTCTAAAAGCAATCACATGCTAGTTAATATTACTTTTTCATCAAGTAATCCAACTCGTAACAACCATTTCGAGCAAGACAACAATCTGAAATGCACATAGCATCTTAAAAAACTACTTCAACAAGTGATATTCAGCCATTTGGAAGTTAAACCAAGTAAAATAAAGCAACAATCTTTTCAGTGAACCGAGCTACAACAGAATCAATAAATCGTTTGATTCTTTGCCACGTAAAACAGAGAACACGTGGCATAACATATCAGGAATAAAGTTCCTAAATACCATATCGAAAATTAAATAAGATATCCACCTTTAAGCTAGTATATTCCAGAGTTCTAATGCAAACCCTAAAATTGAACTACAGTCTAAAAGCAATCATGTGATATTTAATAGAGCCTTTTGATCAAGTAATCCAACTCATAATAAACAGACAACAATCTGAAAGGTATACAGGATAGAGGGCAGCTCGACAAACAACTTAAGCAAGTAACAATTTTTTTCAACGAATTGAGATCAAAACAAATCAAGAATTCACCAGACTATTCCCAACGTTCAGCCAAGTTGCTCTCCTTGGCCGCCGGTCTTCATGCTGACTCAAGGAGCACTGAGGCAAAGGAGTGCTGGCAAGCGACCCGGTCAAAACCCTAGGCGCCTTCCAAGCACAAGAAAGAACACTGCATTCGTACATTACACTGGTTCTCTCTCCTTTAGAAAGCTTGCAAAGATTCACACTCTCCACTGCCACAGACACTGCAAAATTCTCATCCTCAACCCCCAATCAAATTCAAAAGCCTAGTAATCAAAGCAGACAGCGAGACAATTGAAGCTTTGTTACCTGACATAAACGGCGCTGATGCCATCTCTAAGTATGAAGCTCGAATCGCGAAATCTCATCGACTCGGAGTGGTGAGAATAGGACCGAGAGGAGCTCAAAGACGAGATTTTTATCAGAATTAGGGGAATTAGGGTTTTTGGGGGAATAAACGGGGATTTTAGGGGGAGGAAGAAGATAACGAGGGACGAGAGGCCACACAAAGGCCGCAGCTAGCAAAGATTTTTTTTTTTTTTTTTTTTTTTTTCCCCT